ATATATAAATTCGGCTTATTGCGAAATTTGATAAAACGAAAATCTCGATAAGCCGAATAAATTGTCCCTTCCCGCGATCTTCGGCTTATCGAGTTTTCACTTGTATATGTTTTAACAATACTTGTTAAATATATAAAGCTTTTTATAAAAGCAGAAGACTATCGTTAATAAAAGTTTTTAATAAGCAAACTCACGATTTTGTCAAAGAAACAAAAAATGGTTAGCGATTTGGAATTTGTATGTTTGCTATTGAACTAGATTAGAATTTTATAGAAAGTTTTGCCCTTGTGGTGTTAAAAAGTGTCACTTGCGAATACGTCTGTATATATTTATTGTGATGCTGAAACTTTCTATTACTTAATCGTCGTAGCTCATTATCTCAAATTACGTTTATTGTCACGGATACATAACCTTTTCAGAAAAGCAAAACTATCATAATTGCGTTTGTTGAGAAGGGGCACACACATGATAAAAATAAACTTACACACGTTATACTCTCATAAGGGAGGAGATAATTAAAAAATACATCATTACAAACTTTTCTCCTTCGTCTGTTAGTCTTATCTGATGTACTGTATGGTTTGGGTGGGGAATATAGTCGCGATATTGTGGATTTGGGCTGGAGATTTGATTACGCCAAATGGCTTGTAACCAAGTTCGAGCAAGGGGTACAGTTGTTGCAGACTTCTGAGAAGCGTAACATTAAATGGTTTGATCTGTAGGGTGGAAATAAATAAATGTTACATGACTGTTTTATTTATACGTGCTGTATGTAGCGGTATATCTTCTAGTTTCGTGACAGCGCCAGCTAATTCAAGGATCTCATCAACTACAAACATTGACGTCGCGGACCAGTCAGGGTTATTTTTTGATATGTAGACATCGAAGTGAGTGGTAATAGATTCGCTTGCAAAGTTTAAGAATCTACCATTGAAGTCGAGGTGGGTAAACATGTTTTTTTTGTTATTAGGAAAGAGAGGTGCATACAATTAATTGTATTTTAGAAATTTAAGTGTATTTTGGGCAAAATTACACACATACAAATGACAAGGATATATATAATCGACTACTCCTGATCGGAGAAACAAGAGCTCATAATTAATTATTAAATCGAAAAACGAACATTATTTAATTAGTTTTATTTAGAGGCAAATGACGTTACCCACACTAAATTCCTGTTTAGTTTATAAATAGTTTATCTCCTTCGATTCTGCGATAGAATAATTGTTGTTGATAACATGCATGGGCTTTGATAAATATGGCGAGTATTCTGATTTAATGTTTGGTATCAACTGCAGTACTTTATCAAAAAAATATTTGGCACTTAGATATTCGTTTCGTTTCAACAGTATTACACATATACTGTACAATTATAAATTTAACTATTTCATCAAGTACAACTTCGTAAGCGATTGTGTCCAACAAACCTGAAACATTCCAATCAGTTACGTTTAACCTATCCAACAAGGATTCCGAGATGTAGTTGAACAAAAAGCTTTAAAAATATTGGTGTTCGTAAGGCATTATCTGAATCATGATTTTTGCATGTATAGCGCATTAAAGAAGGTTAATCCCTTAAAAAAAATTAGTGTATGATATAATTAACGTAAATTGTAAGTCGAAGAGTAAACAGTGCGCTATTATAAATTACTTTTTTTTTCATATGAACATGTCGTCTATCTCGTTTTAAATTGTCGGCATTTCATAGCTATTTCCCAGTTTGGGCAAATCTCTAGTAAGAGCTTACTTTAAACAAAGTGTGCATATTCGCCATTGTGTTATGGCCAGTTTACTTGACGTTACTGCATTATTGTACTACACACAATCACATGGTCAACGCCACTGATAACTAGGTTGGATAGGTACTATTGAGGTTTTCGAGGTCTTTATTTGAATAGGTACTATTGATGTATGCCCCCACAAATGTCAAGATGACTTACATAAGACGTAAGACGGATAGTTTTTTTTTTGCCTAGTTCCGCACAGCATCGTAAATTGAACTTCTTGTTTTATATTTAGATAAATGTCCTTTCAATAGCGCTACTAACGAGAGCGAAATCGTTAATAATCAAAAGTGAAGCAGCTCTAAAAGACCATTACGTTAATCAACGACCGTTCTTCTTTTCGCCGAAGACAATGGAATAGAGCACTATGCAGGAAGTGCATATGCAGGGGACTATATATAATCAATTTTTGTAACCCCAATTACCATGTGCCGTGTAACAAATAAACCCCTTTCTCACATGTCGGTTGATGGAGTCAAAGGAGTTCAATTAACAAAAGGTTTGGTTAACTGCCGGTTATTTTTGCATATCCCGACTATTAGATTCATCATCCAAAGGTTACTCTCTCAACTGTTGCTACAATACAAAAGAGACAAATTCTGAGAAATGTACAGTTTAATTCATTTATGAAAAATACAAGCCAACTTCGGATAACAGGGGGGTAGGATCAATTTAGCTAATTCGTTACTTTGAATTTGTATATTAATAATAATTAACCGTATTAGTGAATACACGGCATATTTTCTCATGATCATCATGTGCTGCATATTTCTAAAATTGTTCTATAGTATTGTTATAACTCTTTTTTCTAGAATTCAAAGAAAGTTTTGCTTTATGCGTCTGGGTCAATGCCATTTAAATATAAAACCTTTGTTTAACAAACTTTTCTTTGTTTAGATTAAAAATGACACGTGGAATATTGCTTTTCTTAACTAAATGCAACATTGTTCTTACTTCCCGATTTAGGCGGTTTGTGGCAGTTTCTTTTCCCTATTAATTCAACATGTTTGACAATATAATGATTGCAAAGCTATTTGTATACACAGAAAGCTTTTAATTATTTGTTATGCTAGGTCTATAATAATGTTATTGGCCGTTTACAAGTTTAGCCTAATCTTGTTGTTCATGTAGAGTTTGTTGAAAATCAACGCTAAAGTATTTGGTTACATTCAAACAAGACAGTTGAAACCTGGGATACCTAACGTAAGTTTTTTCACAATATGTTATATTGTTCTTGGAATTTCGTTGTTGTGTTAAACATGTGGTTACGTTTAAATAATTCTCAACTTAGTAATAGTGCCTGCAGACTCTTAAATCAGAACAATGATTCGTCATAACAACCAACGTTTTTAACAGTACTGTCTATACTACTTGACAAACAAAACTCTATATAGAGATGACGAGTATATTATGCACATACAGTGTGTATACCTAACATAACATATGCATAAATAGTAAAACTTTGCCATGTAAGCGCCATTTAAAAGCGTTCATCCAGATTAATAGGCTGGTGAATGCCAAATTTTAATCAACACTCAGCTGTATTAGACCTACAAAGCTTGAAGGATTGCTAAATAACCTGGAAAAAAAAGACAACTATGAAGGAACGTGAAAAACCACATTCAACTGAAAGACTATTGTTATAAACTAAAAGTTATAACATAATAAATAATTAAAATATTCTAAATGAGCATTACCATGTATCACGGATTTATATGTGGGGGGCTTTCTGCAATTGCTTGTGAAGTATTCACAAAGATCAGTTAAACACGAAAAAATTTTTTAATAACAATATTTATTAAAATAGATTTTATTATATAGAACTTACTATTTATTTTAATTTATTAACTAATAATTTATACACTTGTTGTAGTTTCTCTCAGAGATATACAATAATACAGTGGCAATAATAATTTTCTAAGCAGCCACAAGCTGTGTGACATAAATTTTTACATATAAAACCATGCTCACTCAACGCTGTTTGTGCATTATAACCCTGGACGCAAAGCAGAAACATTTAACCAACACAAATAAATTAGTGCCAGCTATCGACTGTGTCATTTTATCTTATGTCCAATATGTCTCAAAACACGCACCAAAATGTAGAGCTTTTTTCCAAAACAACACGTGGTAGAAAATCTAGAACTATTTCCAAGGTGTTAGATTTTACGGGACGTGATCCGGTTATGGTGGTGAATGATTTACAAAATGCAACTACCAACTACAAAGAAGAGGTCAATATTGTTAATAATGGTACTAAAAGAGAAGAGTTCAGACATATGGTAAGATATTAAACGAACAAATTCACGTTGTTAGAACAATATTAACACTAATATAATGTTTAGTCGGCAAAACAATTAAGATATTATGCCGAATTATTTGCAACAAAAGTACATGAAATGAATCATGTTGACTAACTACCTCCGGTCTGTATCTGGATTATATTGATAAATAGCTTGTTATTATCCATTATAAAAATATTTTATATAGACAAGTCATTAAACTAACGGCCGTTATTCTTTTAAGTACCCTGGCCATTTGTACTTTCTGTCTTCCAATATTTATGTATTAGATTATTAATATCCAATATCAATAAATTTTCAAATATAGAATAAATTTTCCTTCTTCTTATTCTCAGTGCACATATGTTATTTAATTCAAGCTATAATATTAGTTGCAACCATTAAAGCCTTGTCATACTGACTAAGAATGTAATTATTAGTTCATAATTACAAAAAGTACAAACGGCATAATTACCAAATAAGACCTTTGAAGTTAACCAATAATTGCCATTGTAACATGATTTGAATAAAGAGTAATAGCGTTAATTACCTCCATACAGTCTCAATTTGCTCATAAATTATTGCAGGCTACACTTTGCTACAAAATTATATTCATTGTAATCAGTATTATTCCCCAAAATTACATTGAGAATTTGTATGTTACGCTTAAGAAAACGCTGTGTTTAACATGTTGTTGTATCTAATGACCGTTGCGAACGGATTTAAATATCTGCATAATCTTGATACCATCCATAAAGCCATGTACGCTGAAGTTGACAGTCAGTGCATCGGCTAATGCATGTGAAAGCGAAGAAGGCGCGATAAACAGATAAAAAATTTGCTTTTTAATAATTCAGGAGGACATAATGGAACTGATAAATAGCATATGAAAAATAACCTCCTTACATCACATCACAAGATATGATTATATCTTTGTTTTATTACAGAGCAGTATGGTTAGTTTAGCCTTTTTATCTGTAATTATGTGCATAAAATGCAATATGTAAAATGTCACAATATTGGAGTTTTGCGACGTCTGTAAGCAAATTGCATTTCACGGAGTACAAAGAGCTAGCGGCTTTTAATAAAGATATTGGTCATCAGCTTGAATAAAACGAATATCAAGTAGTAAGAAAGTCATTTGTAGATTTTACAATAAATTTGTCATTTAATAAACTCACTATAAGCACTTCACAACGAACTGAATATATTCTGAGATTGTATAGAGAGAATATTATTGTTCGGCTAGACAATCGTATCATTGATGCTTGTTGACTACATAGACCACGCTGATAACATCACTATCATAGAGATCAGTTTAATTGTGTAGCTTATCGGACTTATTAACCTGTGAAAATATTTTACTGTTTGTCATCAATATCATCACTATCGTAATCTAATTTAATTACGTGGCTTATCGGACTTACTAACTAGTGAAAAATATTTTCCTCGTGTGCTATGAAATGTCACACTGTCAATCACGATATGATGTAATAGTGTGTTACACTAGGCAATATAATGATATCTTTATGCTTTACTATTGGTTGACAGTCGTAAACTCTCAACGCTCCTTATTGCTGTATTGCATAGATAGCGACATTTATACTTATAAGGTTGTGTACGACAGCAATTAGTTATATAAAGTAGTACCAATATATGTTATCTTCGTAAGCGTAGTCGTAGAATTCATTTCTCCTTCTTTTTTCTTAATGTTCTAACATTATTTCCGTTGATCTAGTACTCTTAATTGAGTTATTAATTATTATTAAAAAACGATATTGTTTAATTAGTTTGAGACGAGTGAACTATTCAAAATACCAAATCGTGTTTAATATTAATAGAATTTATTTCCCTTCGATTCCGCAGTAGAATAATTGTTGTTGTTATTTTATTGTGGGAATCATGAGTGATTTAAGGCTCGGATAGGGCGCGCATTTAATTTGATTATATAAATAGGTTACTTGTAGATTAGAATTCAATCTTAATTGAACAACTGCTGTAATAAGGCGCGGTAGCACGAAGCTGGTCCAGAATAACCTCCGGTCGGAAGAACACCCCTACGCAAAAGACTAATCGCTCTCCCCATCTGACCTTAGGAGATAGAAAAATTAAGTATAGGTCGGGACTATTAAGCACAATGGAAAGGCAAATAAAGAGACATCCAAGCAAATGCAAGTATCAAGTTGTATAATTATTAAGAGACAAGCAAAACTTTTAACTTAATAGAACAAAATTTAATGAATTCTCTTACTCATATTGTTACCATGATCTTTATATATGTCTACAAGTGACTGATACTAATACAGCATTAATAACTTAATAATGCCAATTTGACTTGCATAGAGTTGATAATTGCAAAAATCCAGGTTAATATTAAATCAAAATTTTATAACCGAAAACACCTCCCAATCAAGCCAATCAAATCGATATGGTGACTGCCTTATTCGAACTTGGTATGCACGTCTCCGTGCATGGGGGCAGACATTCTTACCATTCCCAAAATGTAAATCAGCACCATGCCCAAAAATAGGAAAATCACAACCCTTATCACAACAAGCATATAAGCCACTGTCACTAACTAATGAGTCAGTGATGGCGAAAAAAAAGGGCAGTCACATGATTAAGACTGTCAGTATGATTGGGTAACATGGCCAGTGTGGCGAGTAGGTCCAAAT